TTTCAGTGGATTTGGGGGTGGATTTGGTGGATTTGGGGGTGGATTTGGTGGATTTGGGGGTGGATTTGGTGGATTTGGGGGTGGATTTGGTGGATTTGGTGGATTTGGGGGTGGATTTGGGTGAATCGTGTAACCCTAGTAAAACTAGGACCGTAAAACTGTATATATACATATGCAATTGCAAACGTTGCTGTATCATCTAACATTTGATTGGTCGTTTTTGTTGACAATAGGCCTACTTGTGATTGGACGTCATGGATTACTGAAAAGCTTATTTTTTAGTTTTAACACAAATTTTGTTCTAAGTTACCGATGTTCGTATATTCGCCCGCTTGCATAAGACTTCCGTCACGATCGGTCACCCGGTGCACTCCAATGCGAATAAACATGACCGAGCGAAACATGTGACTGGTTGTTATAACTCGATCTCCTCTCTATCCACCTATGACCGGTAGAACGCGGCTAGTTTTGTACAACCGGACGAAAAAAAGGCAACATATTATGATAGGTGACCGGTTGAAAACAGCAAGTTTTACGTCACGTGGTAGCGCCGGCTAGATTGGTTCCAAGTCTCTTCGTCAATATAAAGTGAAATGAGTGAAGAGATAAAGAACCCATCTATAAACTAGAATCCAAGATGGCAGCCTTCATCTGAGTGATGACCTTGAGTTTATCGAATTTATCTCATAACAAATGCATATAGGATCTAAATCCGACTTATTTGTTCATTAATTTTTATAATAGAAATATCAGAAAATCTTCCCAGAGACAATAATCTAGAAAAAAATAAGACGCGAGCCGTAAACGTGGTATAGTAAAGTGGGACTCCCACTGTGTGTGAGTGTGGCACTGGGAGAGCTAGTCCGAGATTCCTCTGACCAATCCCTCTAACCCACACCAAAACCACCAAAATCGTCGGTGTGGGCATTGGTCAGAGGAATCTCGGACTATGGGAGAGCAAGGTAACCCACGGCACTTGCCCCCTTACTTAGTATGCATGGCACATAGACTATAGCTATAGAAAAATAGTCATACATGCGTCTAAACAGAGGAATTGCTCCGACCTGTGATTGGTGGATAAAAATAGAATTAGTGACGTTTCGTTTCACCGGTCTGGCGGTCATAGCCGCGCGTGTATTCTATGAGCGATACCGCGCGTGCATATTTGCTAATTAATTAGATTAATCGTGCTTCAATAGACTCAAAATTTACAGAGATTAAGGCTAATTGACATGTGGCTATAAAAGCTAGAATTTATAGAAATGTATTATGTAACTCAAATCGTTCGCTCCATATGATACCAGTTAGTACACGTTCCTACCGGCCATATAGCCGCGTGTATATTACTAGCCTATGAGCGATATCGCGCAGCGCGCATGCATATTTGCTAATTAATTTGACTAATTGTGCTTCAATAGACTCAAAATTCACAGAGATTAAGGCTAAGACATGTATCTATAATAGCTAAAATTTATAGAAATGTAACTCAAATCATTTGCGCTATATGATAGTTAGTACACGCTCCTACCGGTCATATAGCATAATAGCATATGCGGCGGAAGTGGGCGGGGTCTATTTTTATCCTCCAATCACAGGTCGGAGCAATTCCTCTGTTTAGACGCATATGTATATCACAGTGGTAACACGTCCGGAACCGGTCGCCTAGTCTCCAGGCTACGCGTCCGGACATCCACTCACACAGTGATCGCATGACTCGCGTACACGCATGATTGCGCAACGTATGATCGGACGGTCTGCTGCCGTCTATTCTTTCATCCATCCTCTCTCGCTCTCTCGCTCTCTCTCTCTCTCTCTCTCTCTCTCTCTCTTTCTCTCACACACACGCACAGCCCTCTCTCGCGTGCTCTTTCTCTCCCACACACACACACCTCTCTGAGGCTCTCGCTCTCTCTGACGCATACACACACACATACACATTCCCATTCCTTCTCTTTCTCTCGCTCTCTCTCTCTCTCTCTCTCTCTCTCACACACATACACACACACGGCAATCATGCGTGTACGTGTCGCAAG